TAAAAGCGGGAAAGAGTTAAAATTTGCACACAGGTCTAACATGTATAAAATCAGATAAATAAGTCGAATATGGCAGTTGAGCGACCGTGCTAGAACCACGGAACTCAGGAATGCCTAACACCTTCTCCCGGGTTAACAGAATTCCTTATACGGATTTCTGGTTCGCGGATTGTAATACAGAATCATTTCTTCTCCTCGATTCGGGATTCAACCGGTGACTTGGGACACCATAAATCTCCCAAGTGGCGACTCTGAATTAAATAATAAATCTCGTTTCGATTGTCCTTTAATTGGAAAAAATTCCCTTACGCCCCTGCCGGCGCAGGTAAAAAGGAGGTGTGACAGTGGTCTTATCCTAGATTTTTGTTTTTTAGGTAATTACCAATTACCCGTATAATTAAGAATTATCTCGAATTACTTAAAATACCATTCACTTTGAACACACTTTATATCACTTACTTATAACTTACTATCATAGTCATGTGGTACCATATAAAATAAATACATACACTATTATTATTAAAATATTCATGTAAAAAAATACATATATTTTCTCAACTTATAATTTTCCTAATCTCATATAAAGAGCACAAATTTTCGTACTCTTAATTCTTAAAATGGTAAAAAGATAACCTTCTTTTCTTGTGAGAAAGTAATTTCTATCTTTACAATAAAGAAAATCTTATAAACTTTCTTATTTTATGTGTATAACTTAAAGTATTTTCGAAAGTAGTAATATTAATAACTATATAGAATCATAATTTTCAAACTTTTACAAAAATATTCCACTCAAAATATCATATCAAATATATAGAATCATATATATAGGGTCTTGCAATAACATAGTCACGACATTCTCTTTAGAAGAGCAATCTACTTTTAGCAAGATACTTTTGCTAATAAAATGACAAGGACACATAGGAAATCATGATTCAATTTTATCGTAGATAATGAAGAAACATGCAGGATTTCTAGTAACGTAGCAATACTTTTGAAGATATTGTGAAGGGGCTCATTTCCCAACATTGCATCATAATCAAAACTAGAACAACACTTACGAATCTCCACCAGGTATAGCATCTAGAGCATCAAATAGGAAAATCCAACTAACGGTAGATTCATACAAATAACAATAACTGAAAACAAGACAACAGGACACATGGCCGAGATTTGAAAGTTAAATTCATCTATAATCTCATGAATCGTCTTAATCCCTTCTAGCTTATATGGGTTATTACAACTTATCCTAATATTAAAGTACGGGATGTAATATCCTTCCCCCCTTTAGAACATTCGTCCTCGAATGTTAACTCTTAGAGATTTAGAAAATTTTCATTAGGGTCTCATATATAAATTAGGTTAAAACCTAAACTATATCTGAAGTCTCGACTATTCACAACTTTTTGTAGTTGAGTATCTCCTATATTCTTCACCTTTATCTCACTTATCTTTCAATATCGCATCGTATCTTATTTTTCTTTCATAACCTCTCTTCCACATTACGCCTTAAATACTGCGATACTTGCACCTCTGGTGCATACAAAATCTGGCGAAAGCTTCATACTGACTTCTTACGACTTGGCATGATTTGAAAACAAAAGAAAGGAAACATTTCGTAAATGCCCTATAGCCTCTCAATTATAAATTGTGGTGCGCAACACATCCATAAGTGAGACTCTACAAGACATGTCTTTGTAGACTCCCTAGGACACGACTCGCTCTGATACCACTTGTCACGCCCCGAACCTAGGGAGGCGTGGCTGGCACCCGATGCCACACTGGCCCGAGCGAACCATTATACAACTCATTTATTCCTTTTGTAACTATCATGGGCCAATATGGCTACAACTCATAATGTACAATTTTAAGTGGACAACATTGTATCTGTGAACTATTTTTCTTAAAAGATGGACACATATGGGCCGTCAAGGCCTCTGACATACCGTACATAATAAACCTGTGTCTAAAAAGCCTCTACGATTATATGAAATCAAATGGGACTAGGTACCGGCCTACCCATATGTCTGTAGCAAAATTTTAACATAAAAAACCATGATGACTCATAGACTCGACTGCACTCCGAATAAGGTGGAGTCTTACCAATCCTTCGTTGAATGTCAATCTCGTCTACTATGAAGGCTCGTCAAACTGATTATCTATACCTGCAGGCATGAATGTAGCATCCCAACAAAAGGACGTCAGTACGAATAATGTACTGAGTATGTAAGACATGTAAATAAATATATAAGGAGCATGAAAGAAACATAGAGTAAAGGACTCAACCTGCAAGTTTGGATAGTTCTATAAATTATGAAATACTTATAGTGTCATGCATATGCGTATAAATGTCATGTAATGCATAGGTCTGTACGTACATAACATAATCAAGCCTCTGAGGGCATCCCATCATATCTTCTCGGTCATTATGGGCAAATCATCAACGTATACCAACTGATCAGGTGCTGNCTGAGGGCATCCCATCATATCATCTCGGCCACTGTGGGCAAATCATCAATGTATACCAGTTGATTAGGTGATGGTGCGTATATAACGTCGTAACCTTTTCTCATAACCTATATACATATATACGCGTATATAATGTCATCTGGTGCCATGTGTGCAAAATCATCAACGTATACTAGCTGATCAGGTGGTGGTGCGTACATAACGCCGTAACCTTTTTCCATATTCTATATACATATATATACATATATACGCATATATAGCGTCGTCTGAGTCATGAGTAAATGCACATGTAAATGAGTGCAATGCATGAGAAGTACGTTAATAAAACTTCTCGGAACATCATAAGACCATTATACCTCTGACTAATATCGTAAAATAAATTTTTTTCAACTTACGTATTTTTCTGAGACCTATGAACAAACAATAGAATAATAAGACTTATGGGAATTCAAAAACATAGGCATCTCAAATACTTTTGTGAATAGAGTCATTTATGGAAATTGTGCGGTTGCTCGTTTCTTCTGTATAATTTGGATCATGCCAAAAGAAAGAAGGGATAGCCTTAATATACCTGGAGGAAGGAACTAATATTAGCGGAGATCTTTAAAAAGTATTCACCCTCATCTTGGCAAGGCACACGAATCCTCTACTGCCAAGTAATACATAATTATCAACAAACATATGAGCAAAATCACAATAATCATTCACCTATGTCAGATTTGGGCTCAAAAAAGCAGCTCAAAAGGCAATAGAAACATCCAACTAGTTTTGCTAAAACATATGTCCTTTTTTGATAACGTAAAGTAAGGATTTATGCTCCAGGTTCTATCCTTCATGCTTTTAAAGAAAACAATCACCCGTATTTTCCATTATCACGGATTCTAGTCCTCGAAACTACAGCCATATTATCACCTAAATAAGTAGAAACATTTTTAGGTCAGGACAAACATTCAACAAGGAGATTTAAGAAGTTTGTTCTTCTCCACATCATCCTAACGAGTAGGAGTTTTAGAAAACATCTAACAAGGACACCAAATTGAAAGAAAGAGAGGAATGATGTAGCATACTGAAGATCTAATCATTCAATTACCTAATACTATTAAGACTTGAAAGAAAACAGGAAATACCATTTACTAGTACATCAAATTTGATTCACCGTTTACATTTCTGCTATCTACCTACAAAAGTTTATGTGTCATCAAATAGTGACCCCTCCATCTCAAATTAAATATCCCACCATTGATCGGCATGAGTCACAAATTTTTGCTTTGCAAAATCTGCCACGTGGTGGTCTTATCCTAGATTTTTGTTTATTAGGTAATTGTCAATTACCCACATAATTAAGAATTATCTCGAATTACTTAAAATACCACTCACTTTTAACACATTTTATATAACTTACTATCATGGTCACGTGGTACCATATAAAATAAATACATACACTATTATTTTATTAAAATATTCATGTAAAAACAACAACAACAACAACAACAACAACGACAACAATGACCCAGTAAAATTCCACAAGTGGGGTCTGGAGAGGATAGTATGTACGCAGACCTTACCCCTACCCCAAAGGAGTAGACAGGCTATTTCCGGAAGACCCTCGACTCAAGATAATAAGAAAAACAAAAAGGAGAGAATATTAGTTTCACCACAGAGATCATAGGAAAAATAGGAACATAAAATGCAGAAGGAAAAATGCAAAACAAAAATGATGGCTAGTAAATAGGTCCTGCACCGAAAAGAGAAAATAGTAAGACACTGCAACGCCCCTAGCTATTTCAGACAAAAACCCTACCAGACTAGGCTCACAGCAGTACAAGGTAACGCAAGACTCAGCTATTTCCTAGCCTACAATCGTAATACTCGACCTCCATAACTTCCTATCAAAACCTCCATAATTTCCTATCAAGTGTCATGTCCTCAGAAATCTGAAGCCTCGTCATATCCTGCCTAATCACTTCTCCCCAATACTTCTTAGGCCACCATCTACCTCTTCTCGTGCCCTCCACAACCAGTCGCTCACACCTCCTTACTGGAGCATCTGGGCTTCTCCTCTATACATGTCCAAACCATCTGAGTCTCGCTTCCTGCATCTTATCATAAATGGGAGCCACGTGCACCTTCTCCCGAATATCATCATTTATAATTTTGTCCATCCTAGTGTGCCTGCACATCCACCTCAACATTTTTGGATATGTGAGTTCTTAATAGGCCAACACTCAGTCCCATACATCATCGTCAGTCTAACCACCGCTTTATAGAACTTACCTTTGAGTACCGTTGGCACTCTCTTGTCACAAAAAACTCTGGATGCTAACCTCAACTTCACCCATCCTACCTCAATACGGTGTGCGACATCCTCATCGATCTCCCCTCCCCGTGGATAACCGAACCAAGGTACTTGAAGCTGCCTCTACTTGGGATAACCTGTGAGTCAAGCCTCACATCCACACCCACTTCCCCCGGCTCAGTGCTGAACTTACACTCCAGGTATTCCGTCTTTGTTCTGCTCAGCTTGAAACCTTTAGACTCAAGAGTCTATCTCCAAACTTCTAGTCTCCCGTTAACCCCGGCTCGTGACTTATCAATCAGAACTATGTCATCGGCAAATAGCATGCACCATGGCACCTCCCCTTGAATATGGTTTGTTAATGCATCCATCACCAGGGCAAATAAGAATGGACTGAGCGCAGAGCCTTGGTGTAACCCCATTTCAACCGGAAAATGCTCAGAGTCACCTCCTACTGTCCTAACCCGAGTCTTGGCCCCATCATACATGTCCCTAATCTCCATAATATAGGGAATCGACACACCTTTTATCTCCAAGCATCTCCAGAGAACTTCTCTAGGAACCTTGTCATATGTTTTCTCTAGGTCAATAAACACCATGTGCAGATCCTTCTTTCTCTCTCTGTACAGTTCCACCAACCTCCTAACAAGGTGTATAGCTTCTGTGGTAGAACGACCCGGCATAAACCCGAACTGATTGTTGGATATAGACACTGTCCTCATCACCCTCGCTTCAATGACTCTCTCCCATACTTTTATGGTATGACTCAGTAATTTAATACCCCTATAATTGTTACAACTTTGGATATCACCTTTGTTCTTATACAATGGAACCACCGTACTCCACATCCACTCATCCGGCATCCTCTTTGCAATAAAAATAACATTAAACAACCTAGTCAACCACTCCAAACCTACTCTCCCTACACACTTCCAAAATTCCACCGGAATCTCGTCTGGTCTGGTTGTTCTGCCCCTACTCATCTTACGTATAGCCCCCACAACCTCCTCAACCTCGATACGTATGCAGTGCCCGAAGTCACGGTGAATCTTATAATGCTCCAATTCGCCTAGCACAATATCATGATCCCCTTTTTCATTCAGAAGTTTATGGAAGTACGTCTGCCATCTCCTCTTAATCTGGGCATCTTCCATCAGTATCCTACCATCTTCATCCTTGATGCATCTCACTTGGTCCAAATCCCGAGCCTTCCTCTCTCTCAACTTGGCCAGCCGGAATAACTTCTTCTCCCCGCCCTTTTCCCCTAGTTCCTCATACAAATGACCATAAGCCGCAGTCTTAGCCTCTATGACTGACAGTTTAGCTTCCTTCCTAGCTACCTTATATCTCTCCATGCACGCTCTCCTCTCCTCCTCACCGATGCTCCCCACTAGCTTCATGTATGCTGCCTTCTTCGCTTTCACTTTACCCTGGACCACTTCATTCCACCACCAATCTCCTTTATGCCCACCAGAGACACCAGTAGAGACCCCTAATACCCCTCTCGCAGAAGCCCTTATACAGTCTGCTGTTGCTGACCACATAGTGTTTGCATCCCCACTGCTCCTCTAAGCACCCATAGCCGCCAGCCGCCACTCCAACTCTTGGGCTTTATCCTTAGTCAAGGCTCCCCACCTGATTCTCAGTGTTCCCCGAGCAGTTCATTTCCTCCTCTTTAACCTAATACCAACATCTATCACCAATAGTCTATACTACGTCGCGAGTGTCTCACGCGGAATCAATTTGCAGTCCTTGCACAACCCGCTGTCACACCTCCTGAGGAGGAGATAGTCAATCTGAGTCTTCGCTACCGCATTCTGAAAAGTAACCAAATGCTCATTCCTCTTCGGAAATCTAGAGTTCGCAATCACCAACCCGAAAGCTTTAGCGAAGTCCAACAATATAGTACCTCCACCGTTCATCTCCCCAAAACCAAAGCCTCCATGCACCTCGCCATAACCACATGCGGTCGCTCCAATATGACTATTGAAGTCCCCTCTTATGAATAGCTTCTCGCCAGGCGGAACCTGGCACACAATCTCATCTATCCCCTCCTAGAAGCGTCGTTTAACCTCCTCAGCTAGGCCCATTGCAGCGCATAAGCGCTAATGATGTTTAGGGTGTACTCACCAACCACCAACTTAATAACCATCAATCTATCATTCACTCTTCTAACTTCGACCACAGACTCTCTAAGTTCTCTATCCACCAAGATACTCACTCCATTCTTACCTCTCTCGACCCCTGAGTACCAAAGTTTATACCGATCCGCATCCTTCGCCCTCGACCCTATACACCTTGTCTCCTGGACACACGCTATATTGACCCTCCTCTTCTGGAGAATCTTTACCAACTCTATAGACTTACCCGTCAATGTACCTACGTTCCATGAACCGATTCTTAACCTATAGGCACCCTTGTTCCCTTTACCTTCATTGCCTCCCG